CATCGTGATTCATCACTACTCTCAACACTATGAACGAGTGAAATTTCTTATTTTCTGGTATTTTTCCCAAACTCTCATTGCATGGCAAACATCGTCCTTGCTGTGTTCAATGCTCTGAAACTTTTAATCTAACATATTTGACTTATATTACATCCTCATTCAGATGTACACTTTCAAATCAATCGGAGTCCAAGAATTATGCTTTTTTTTTACATAGATTCCATAAAATTAATGAATTTTCTTATAGTTAATGCTGTCGTGAACGTCATAATCGAAAATTGTAACCGTCATTTAAAGCAATTTTGATCAAAAATAACAGAGAAAAAAAGATCCCCATGAATCGGTTATTGATCAAATATGTCACATCTGTCAGGCGTTTCTCTCTCTCTCTCTCTCTCTCTCTCTCTCTGTGGAAAGTTGGTTTGGAAATGGAAAATGTTGGAATATTGTATGCAAAGTGTTTCTATGTATGCAGAGTGATTACAACAAAATTGCACGAGAGCATAGTTTTAAATAAATTAAATTTGCATCAAGTGGGAATGCGCAAAGTGCGTCAAGCATGCAATTAAACTTAGTAAATAATTTGTATCACAATCATTTTTCCAGCTGTATAATATATAACAAGTGAAATTATTTAATGTCAATTATGGCAGCAACTTTGTAATAGTCGTTCGCCATTCTAAAAATATATCAGTATCATCACTCTCTCTCTCCCCCCTTCTCTTTCTCCCTCCCCATCCTTTCTCTCCTGAGTGGAAACGTGGGCTGTTTATCATTAACAGCCGGTGCTGAATAAGTGTTGCGCTGAATGAGCAGAGTAAAAGAAAATGAGAGAGTGAAAAAAAGGACATTCTAAGGCAATGAAATTTTCGATTACACTCTAACCATTCATCACTCTATTAATGTTTTAAGCCAGCTTCGTTCACCATCAATGTTTATATTCCATTTTTTATTGTTATGGAAGTGCTCTTGTCCGTACATATTTCTATGGTGTCAACTCTAACTAAAATTCATGTTATCGTCGGTCTTTTGTCATTGCTGGTGTCGGTGTGTGTGTGTTTGTGTCTTTTTTTAAATGCAAAACTCTTCATGAAATTCGTCCAAAAATGTGTTAACCTAATGTGTATTTAATGGCTACGAAATAATTTCGGAATGACAACGAAAAGTGGGAACAATGACAAAAAAAAACTGAATGCATGGCGGAAAGAAAGTGGAAAAAAATATTACAAAATGAAATCTTTATTCGACATGACGTGAAACATGACTGAAACATAATTTTCCATTCGCGTTGTCCGATAAAGTTGCACTAAAAACACATACACACCGGTCGTTCATTTTCTCATTTTTGTCGCGCTGATGCTTTTCTACACAGACTTTAACATATATCATTTTTGGCGAATAAACTTCATGGAACAATCCAAAATATTTCGAAAAATTCTAAATTAGATAGATTGCAATGGCATGTGATAACAAGAAATCTTGCATCAACATTAAAGACGTAAAACGGTATCCATTTAGAAATCCATTCGATCTGACGTCGAATTCATTGAGTTTTTCTAAGAGAAAAAAAAACCATGGGTATCTCATGATAAAATCTTCGTGCATATGTCTGTATTGAATGCGCTTTTTTGGTCCATTTAAATTGTATGCTAAACAACCACAAAAAAATGTCAGAAACATCAGACGTTGGACGTTGATGAGATGCGCTCGATTCTTTTTTTAAAAAATAGAAGAAAATGTTGCTTCAAATTTGATAATAGAAAAAGTTTTTAAGAGCTCGTAATCAGCATACCAGATTAGGCAAGGATCTCTTTAGCCTTGCTCGTACGTTATGCATAAAACTCAAACAGCATGTACATTGTACACATAGTTTGTTTCAATTAAAGGTTCTCAATTTGGTTGCAACTTTTGAAGAAACGTTGCGTTGACTCTTTATAAAAATGATGCAATGTTGTATGCCCTTTTTTCAACTCACCATTTAACAAAGTAAATTTGCACCTCTATCATTTTTTTTCAATCGGGTGAGTGATTTCACGAAGTTTTTGTTATTTTTTTTGGCATGCTGAACTCTAGCAGAACATTTTGCCATTATATCTATCTCTTTTCTTGTCCAAACTTGACATTTAACTGAGTTTTACTACAGCAAAGATTTTATTTCATTTTTAAATTCCACATGGTACTTAGTTTTATATGCATTCGAAAAGAGAAAAATAACTGGAACACAATTCCAAATTATTGAGTGAATAACTTTGAAAGTTTGACCGAGCTTTAAAAAAAAAAATACATTACAACGGAATGGAAAAAAGCGTGACTGAAATGGATCTTTCAATACATAAAAAAACTGGACCAAAAATCTGGCGAATACATTTTATCTGAATAAATGAATTCGTTTGTAAAAATTTGCAGTGAATGTGAAGAAGAATTTTTAATATATAACCGTAGGGAAACGGATAAAAAAGTATAATTATCCAATATTGTCCTCGTATGGTGAGTGATACTATTCAGTTGAAGTGCATGCAACTTACTACCAATCAGTAGTGTATTCAAAATGGGAAAGCAATTGATGTGAAGAATCTTACATACTTTTTTGGTATACGTGCATCATGTTCCACTTCTTGTCTTAATGACCGACGGGCATTCATACAATGTTGACAACTGTACTGCCAAATGCATGTTAAACTAAATGAATGAAAAAACGGAACAAACAAACAAACAAAAAAGTGCAGAAAAAAACCTAAGAACCATTTTGAGGGAGTGACGTATTTCGTTTCGCCAAATGTCATTGAATTTGTAAGAGAAACGTTGAGTGGCGTTGACATGAGCGATGACCATTGCAAAATGTCTGTAAAATACATTGAAATTCATTTGTTATTATCGATGGGCAGCACTTTTTTCGTCTTCATTTTCCGTTGTCTGTCTGCATTGACATTTGTTACAATTTTGTCGTCAACAATCAGAGTTGTAATATATGAAGCTCGATTATGGACCGTGGCAATACACGAAAAGCAGATACAAGAGATATATTGATACAGAGACAGAGATGGCCATATTTATACGCAAAATATGCTGCTACGTGCCGCCATTCATTTAAATTTTGAAAGGACTTGACAAATAAAATCTTAGTTTTACACACATGCATGTTTATACATATATATATAGAGAGAGAGAGAACGAGAGATAGATCTGGAAATGATTTCTCGCTTCTGGGCCACATATGCTTTAGCGATTCGCTTGTAGTTAGGCTTTTACGCTGCTATATTCACGTATAAAGTATGTTTACTCGAATGCATAATATTAAAATTTTCTGCAGAAGATTTATTTCGTTGTTATTTCGAAATCTAAATACACTACACACATTTATACATATAAAATACAATAGAGCAGCCGGCAGTAGGCAAATGCAAGTGCGTCAGATTTTGTCATTTTGAATGTGAAATGGCAACAAATTTTTGTGTTGTTGATGTTGTTGGGAAATTAATTATTCAATGTAGTTGATGAGAATGAGAAACAGAGGTGGAACGTGGGAACACATGAACGACTTGAAGCTTTATAGTCATATGCGGCATAAATTCAGCCACACACATCATGCTCGCTCTCTGTCTCACACTCTCTCACTCTTTTGAAATCAAATGTTGAGACGACAGCGACATCGACCATGACGATGAGCGTTGAATTTAGCTTTTTAACAACATCAATAATAATTTATGCACATAAATGCATGCATCGTCTTTGGTTGTAGCAGTGCAAATGTCCATTGTTTGCATTGAGATTTGTGGATGCTTCAAAATACAAACACTGAAAACGTGTGCCCACTTTCGTGATAAGAATATATGTGCATGTAGATAATTTGTCTTCTTTCTCAATTGGAGACAGTTCAATTCAGCTTTGAGTTGACCACCAAGGATGTAAAAAAAAACACTGTAATCGAAACCGATTTAGCAAAAAGTAAGCTCACAATAAAATTGCTAATATTTCAATTGGATTTACGATTTCAGCCAAATAACAGACTCAATTTGACAGCAGATGATACACATGAATATTTGTCATGAAAATACGTTCGTTTGTCATCATCATTTATGATGATATCATTCTTTAAACCATTTGAAAAATAATTTTGAAGATAGAATTGAAACAAAGTTAGTTAACTTGGTGCGAGCATATCTGTGCACAAATACAGGGACGCCTTTTCTGACAGCCGGAAACAGACATGCGCACGGTTCTTATCGTCGGGGGTGGTTAAGTTGATTTTGGTCCTGAGGGGTTGGAGGCAATTCGTATGCAAAAATATCAAAAAAAAAAAACATTTTATCTACAAATGTGTGCTGGTGACCGAAGCGAAATTTTGCAAATTTGACATAAAACCATTTCAAAATTATGGTTCAGATGTCTCAAAATTTTAGCAGGGAATAAATGTGAAAAGAATTTCCTCAGGGCGGGGACATACCTTCCCCGGGCGTTCACTTATGGCCGAGAATAAAACTTGATGTAAATCGGCAGTGAGTTTTGTGCAAATAGCATCTTTGCAAAAAAATTCAAATAAAACCGAATGGTATTCGAATAGCCGATTTATTGCATTTGAATCATAATAAAATATTCTACCATCGATTTTGATTTGTTTCTTTCGCCTTTTGTTTACATTTTCATCTTACAATGCTATTAAATGCTGAGCTTTTTGTTACTTTTTTGCCAATGATTTCGATCGAAACAGTAATTGTTTCGTTTCCGTTGAATGCCAAGTTGTAATGTTTATGTTTCAATTAAGCTTGAGATTGCTGTGCATGAATTTTGTTCGATGGTGGTGTGCGTTTTCTTTCGTACGAAACTATGTAACAACAAAAAGAGCGAAGAAAAAAAAGTATATTTAAGAAAAGCGAAAAATTACTTACACTCATTGCTTATAGCTTGAAATATATTGCATCGTTTCGTTTTGCTATTTCGTTTCTATGTATGTAGTGGACGTCCATTAAGAACACATTCGTTGCACTTGCCATCGTCGTGTGTTTTTCATTCTCCGTTCCATAATTTCTTCGGCAATGGTTTCGGTTTTTTACCACTGAGAGTTAAATGCCCATGGACAATTTTGTTTCTTCTTGCAAACGCATATACTTCGCCCGCCCACATGATTAGTAATCTGCCAAAATGAACATGTAAAAGAGGGAGAAAGAGAAAGACAGAGAGAGAGAGAAAAAAATGGAACAATAAACAATAAAATGTTTCCCATAAAATGCAGTGCTTTATTTGAAATTTGATAGTTGCTCGAGTTCTATAAACGTACCGAACAACACTTTTTTGTGCCTTTAAATTAATTTTCAATTTGCTTGGAGCTTTTTTTTTAGTTTCTTTCAAATTAATTAAAAATTGGTTACAAAGTATTTTTTTAATTCTTCGCAAATAATGTGAGAAACTATTAACGGTCACCAGAAATGTTTGGTCATCATGGCAAGTGTATGTGTGTTGTACTCTGTGCGCTCTTGGGTGAAAATGAGGAATTTTACCCGTTACATTTTTACAATACACATTTTTATTATGTCAAAGATTGCATTTGTTTCTATTCAAAAATCAATTTAAATCTTATACATTGTGGTCTAACTGCATTTAAAGCAATTTAAATACTCATTTCATATTTTTGCCATAAAAACATTCATCGGAATGGAAAGTTTTATTTTAAGTCCAATTTTTTTTTTTCGCAATTTTCAAAAAAGAATCTTTATAGCAAAAATATGACCACATTGTTATATGTTTTGAAAGAACTAGATTAATTCAAAATCAAAATTTCTTTCTTTGTTCGTTCGAATTCATCACTGTGTTTTAGAAAAACCATGCAATCACAAAGGTCCCACTGCTTAGCGCTATAGGAATGAGCATTAAATTGAGGTGCACATCATCGGTGTTGATGCCAAAGTTTTTACACGAAATAAAGGTAAACATTTGAATGGGTCCCGGAAAAATCCAGTCCCGACAAAAGTTCTGGTGTGAAAAGAAAAGTGAAAAGGAGCTTTTGGTTCCACTTGGATCAAAATTGATAACGTGGAAGAAGGCTGAAGAATTTTCGTCAAAAGAGTTTAAAAAACCAAAATATTGGAAAATTTCAGAGCGGACCAATCGGGACCGTCGGAAACTGGATCAAAACCTATGAGTGTACATTAGGGTGTTTCCACATGGAAAATATTAAAAAGTGGCTAGTATCATTTTGAAGAGCGTAAAATTCTGTATAAGATTATGTGATTTTCGATGCTGATTGGTCGCCGATGTCACTTCCTGAACTAAAAACACATTTGTAAATTGATTTCATGTCGCATTCACGCCAGAATCTGTAATTAATGAAATTATAAGATTGAACTAAATTAAAAAACATAAAAAATAATTTTAATATCAATATTATTGCTTGAATATTAAAAAAGTAACACAAAAACTAACAATTTTACCACAATAAACAGACAGAATGACATTTGAAGCGTGATTCGCTCACGCATGACAAATGACAGGTTATGTGTCAAATGAATTGGCGATTTTGCATTGTTTTGGTTTATTGTGGTAAAATTGTGAGTTTTTGTGTTACTTTTATTAATATTTAAGCAATTATTTTTATATTAAAATTATTTTTTATGTTTTTAATTTAGTTCAATCTTATAATTTCATCAATTGCAGATTTTGGCGTGAATGCAACATGGAATCAATTTACAAATGTGTTTTTGATCCAGGAAGTGACATCGGCGACCAATCAGCATCAAAAATCAAATCATCTTATACAGAATTTAACGCTCTTCAAAATGATAATAGCCACTTTTTAATATTTTCCATGTGGAAACACCCTAGTGTACATTCTTAAAAGAATTGTTGAAACATCAGCCTCGAATCAGTACACTTACATATTCCCATTATATACAAAACGCAATATTTGCTTGTAAATAGTTTTGTTTGAATTTTCATTTTTGCATTCCGCGCTTGCATTTGGTGTTCATAAATGAATTAATGGCAAATGGTTGCAACCAATTGTTTTTTGAAATTTTGTATGGACAACAAAGCGATGGAAATTCGCATTCTCAATGTTATTGATTTAACATTTAATAAAATGTGTGAAGTGGACGTTTCATCAAATGGTTTTTCGACTCTTACTGCAAAATATTAAGTCACATTTGATGTTTTTGTATTTTCAGGATGTAACTATATTTTAACATTTATAAATTATAAATTATTTAGTTTTGAAGTCAAAGTATACGGTTGTGTGTCGTTTCATCAAGAAGTGATATCGTAGCAAAAGTTTTGCATATATATTTTATATAAATGAAGTGTATTCATGTGGTTGTGTGTGTATATATGTTTTGGATTATCGTTTGGGTGTATAGGGAATTAAAGTCAGATATTCAGTTGGATGTCAAGTGCGGCCTGATGATATGTTATATGGTTGTTAAGCTAATTTCACATTAAGAGCTTAACAGACTATCAATTAATCACACATAAGCTAACATTTCCACACATTCAACTGTGGTTTAGTGTAACACGATTTTTCTCAATTTGATTGAGACTATGAGTGTGTGCTAATGTTAAACCAACTTTCGTTTACTGGGTAAAACCATTTCATCAAGCACAAAGGACACATGAAATCAAGAAATAAGAAAATCGAAGTCTCAGTCCATTTTCACAATTTTTTCTTTTTGAGTGCATAAACATGTACGGACGGACTAATTAATTTCGTTTTGAGGGCAAATTGACATTGATTGATTTACCATAAAACCGCGTTTTCTTGCAATACGTTCATTTGGCACAAAGATGGTTTGCAGAGAGACGGGTACGGACATCAATCGAAAACCATTGATTCGAATGATTTGTGCTGATTGTTTTTGCCGATTTATTTTTGGAGTCGCCATTATTCTTTGACTTTGAAACAGAAAAGCAAACGATAAAATCAACACTGATTTTAATCGAACACAGCCAAAAGAATGGTCAACGGATCGTATTCCAAAATATATATATATATCGTTTCATCATTGCCCTTCTGTAAAAAAAATCCTCATTTCGACTTCTTTTTTTTTCAAAAATGATTTTTCTCTCTTTCTCAAGCTTTTGAAAAAATACGGAATTCAATTCAACAAAGTTGCTTCGAACTGTTCGGTTCGATTAAAAGCTTTTACCTCGATTTTCCGAGAAAATATACAAAGAATCTTTTGTGTGCCGATTTTCTGCGTATTCTGGCAAACCGAACTATAATGCTCTGCACTAGTTTGTTACTAGGGTCAAATATCGTCTGATATTATAAAAACAATGGTTCCATTTACGTTTAATTATGAGTTTCGAATTCACTTGACGATAAAACATCCATTGTGCATTCACCGACTATTCGTTCGGTTCACATTGATTCGGTTTTTGTGTGGAAGTTGAAATGCGTGTGCTTATATCATTAGCTACACCATTATATCCGAACGAATTTTATAAACTTCGATACATATATACCATAATCGTTTACTATTAATTTCAATCAATTGTCACTTACAGTTTCTGCTCGGATACGTTAATAAATCAGCAAGTCGGTTTTCACGTTTCTTTTACACTAATTTTTTTTTTTGTCGACTGAAATGCTGATGTTAAACTTCCGATGAAACTATACAATATAATGGGCCATATAATTGTAACACGTTTCAATAACTCAATTACGATGCTTCTATTTAAAACAATGTACAAGTTAAAACATTGTACACCAACATCAGTGTCGATAATGAATCAAAATCCTTGCGAAAAACTTATGCCAAAAAAGAATTCCAATCATTTTTTTTTTTTGAAGTGAAATACACAATCATTGTTCGTTCGTGTACAAAAGCACATCAATTTTGGTTTTTTGTTTTCTGTTCACTTTATAAAAATCGATTTAAACAAATTGTATGCGAGTTTGACCATAGTTAAAGACGATAGTTCGACCATCGAATTCAGATGGTCGTTCATTGTTATAATAAAAATAAAAAGTTTACCAAAATTTCGAAAATATCGAAATCAAAAGCTCTAGTGGTCATTTATTGATTTTATAGTATGCGGTTGATCAAACAAGCTTTATGGCTACTCATCGAATTTTCAAATAGTAGGTTGAAGTGGTTTTTTGTCAATATTGCTGCCTTCGGAATTGTTCAAAATCATATTCATTCATCACGTCCGTATGATAAGCGCTTCAGATTTTTTTTTCGCTGCTGCCACTACTACTTCTTCTTTTGAAACTATGCGGATTTTTTAAATGGTAAATCTCTTCAGTTTTTTTTTTCTTTTTTCCATTACTGTGTCAATGTTTGGCGTTTCATGTAACATGCATACACGTACGAAGCAGCTCAAAATTGAAATGCGCGGATGCATTTGAAATTGCGAAAGCATTCATTTTGGCATCTCTATTCAATGATTTTCTTCCATTTTTTTTTGTTCATTCTTCGTCTCTTGAATGCTCCTTATATTTTATGTAAAGCTTCTATATATCGTACGCACTTCCATGGTTTTCGACAATGCAACGGTACGATATTGCTCTGCATGTTTGAGCATGAGCATCCAATTTCATATTTTGTTCGCTAAGACTATATGCATATTTGAAATAAACTATTCCGTTTGCGAAAAAACCAAAAACTGAACAGCGTAATGAATTAAAATTCGTTCGGAACTGGTTTTTTTTTTCTTCTTATGCATGTGGTGATGTGAGGGAAAATATTTATTTTTCCCGAAAAATTGAAATTAAATTCAAATATTCTTGGAGAATATTATAAAAGGTCTTTTTTTAAAAGTCATTGTCATTATTTTGTAGAAAAAGTCGAGAAAAAGTGTTGATTTGACATTCACCAAAATAGTGTTATTTACAGCTCATGTCTTGTTGCAAATTAATTATATGGACATAATGGATGTGCAAATTATGAAATAAATTTCGTTTGAAAGGAAAAAAAAAAGCATGAAAATGGCAGTTGAACCATATATTATTCAATGTAAAATGGATACAGAGCTCTATGGAATTCACTGGGATGGTCCATAGTTTCGATGTAAAAATAAACTGTGTAGGATTAAAGGCGGAACCCACTGAGAAATTCCATCTAATTTTAGTGGAGAACATTGGAATTTCAGAGTTATTCCATTTTCCGGAATTTGAAATAACTCTATTGAATTAGAATG